GTTAAACATCTTATTTCTAATGGGCTGTGATTGGTTGATCTGAAAGAAAAAAAAAAAAAGCATCTGTTTCAAGCCAGAGAATGGCTAACGGGTTGCAAGGAACCCAACTTGCAATCGTGCAACAAAAATAGGATGCCTAGTCTTTGTGAGTAAATTCCTCTTCTTTACAACTTAAAAAGATGTCCTGGGTAGTATCATGGTATTTGGAACAGTTCTTAAAAGTGGGATGAATTATTAAGGCTTCTGTAACAAAAACACACAATCAAGCAGTATCCCACATAGCTCACGTTCCAGCTTTATCTCCCATGTTTACCAAGGATCTCTATCTGTGTCAAAACTGCACACTATGAAAAAACATATAGCTGAACAGCCTGTGTTAAATAAACACTTAATTCTTGACAATTTGCACACCAAAATAAATGGAGGAATCTGATTTAGATCCAAATTAAACTAAGTCTTCAAATACTTATACCAATATTTAACATAATCTTTTTCTAAATATGATGGAAACTTCTTGAATAGAAATCCTTTAATATGAACATTAACCTGATATATGACTGTCTGTATGAGGCGTTTGGACAATTTAACTAAACGTGTATAGAATTAATTTGACCACATCATTATAATTTCTGACTTTAGTCCTAACCTAAGCAATTGTCAAAGAACACCTTGTGCATTTTCAAGGTGACCAGAAGAGGAAGGGAAAATGGAGAAGACTCTCTTTTTCAGCATTTTTTTTTTAACATTCAAAGGGTCCTATCTGATTTGCAAATCCCCAAACAATTACAGAACTGGTAAAATTATGAGATCAGCAAATACTGTATTAATAATGAATCATGTTCATTATCATATTAGCTGCAATTGCTGGTTTAGCAGATTTAAATTATTTCTTCTTTTCATCTAAACACATGCAAGAGTTTATTTTCTGTGGTTTCCTGCAATAGCTAATCAGTTTAGCTTTTTCTGTTTTTCAGTAAATGATCAGCCAGATTCTAGATTTCCAACTCAGCTGACAACAGAATGCAAGGAAGGATTAACTTTTAAGTGTCACAGAATACAGGGTAAAAGCAAAGTCCACAGCATTTATAAAAACTTAGCTGATGTAGTGTGAACATTTCACTGATAGCATGTTCAGCTGAATCTGATTTTCTAATAGATCCAGAAAGCAGGACCAAGCTCATTATTTAATTAGATCAGTTAATGGAAGCTGATCTCCTCTGCAATACTATCAGTCTGTTCTGAATATTTGGGAGACCCTGCCACACATTCTTATTCAGGACTGGATAAATGAGTTTTAATGAACCACTGAAAGTATCAGACATGGACCACTACGATCCCAGATAATCAGTTTTAAGACAGCAGGCTTAAACCTGCTGTAGGAAAGATGACTGCTAAACCTTGCAGTCATAAGTCATTAAAGTGGTACTAAAAGAAAAATTTTTTTCAGCAGCTACACATAACCTTCTCTTTTCTATTAAATTCAGCTTTTATCAAATATTTAACTTTATCTAATTCAGCTACACCAGGCATCAGCTAAATTTTCTGCTTCACATCCTAGGGAAATTGTTCATGTCAACA